TAATATGAGCTCATCCTGGATTGATTTGAGTTGATCAGCGATTGATTTAAATTGATCACTGATTGGAATTAACTGATCAATGAATGGTTTTTGCTAATTACTTACCAAACCCGGGTAATTACTGACTGTGTGAAACTGGGTAATGACTCTAAGAGGATTTAAACCGAATACATTTTTCTCTCGTAAAAAAAATGTTTACCAATGCTCAAAGGCTAAAAAAAAGTAAAAAAAAAGGTAAAAAAAATCTATATTTACACGATAATTGATCTAACTTTGACAAGATTTTCGGTGATTTTTGTGCCTTTTAAATTTACAATGTTATTACTCTTTTTTTCTTTTTTCTTTTTTTTTAATCTTTTATTGTCAGGGGATTTGAGTCATTATTTCTTATGTGTGGCAGTAGCTGTATGTAATATAAACCTAATCTTTCTAACTTTACACAAAAACTGCAAACCTGACATTTTTTTTTTCACAGGGGTGCGGTGGCAGAGAGAATACAGCACTCACCTCCAAACTGAAGGCTAATGATTCGATTCCCGGATATTCCCAGTACTTTTAGGTGTATATTAATGATACTTATTACCTAACTTTACAATTGGGGAGGTGAAGACGGTCGAGTATAGTGTCTGCCACATTGTTTTCTTGTGGATCTCAGACTTATTATCCCTAATGGAGCCTCAGGCCTAGGAGACTCATTTTCAGTTACTTCCTGATGACTAGACTCTTTAGCCTGAGAAGTGGGGGTCACATACAACCTCGTGTGGATTCCATATCATTGGAATTGTTTGCTTAGGGGGTTTATTTCCTGAGTCTGCCCAGTGCTTGTCCATATACTGACGATTTACGTACACTACTAAGACCGTTTCAATGACCTAAATTTAATGAACTACCAGTGACCTAAACTTAAACAACCATCAATGACCTTAATTTAAAGAACCACAACACACAATAGACGAAGACAACAACAAAAATAAACAAAAGGAACTGAAACTTCAACACAATATAGAGCATTACACACACACACACACACACACACACACACACACACACACACACACACACACACACACACACAGCTTGACTCTGCCAACTGTGATTACATACTTATTAAAACACCCCAAGGGACGCTACGTTTAGTGCACCAAGCTGTCTGTCTGATATTTTGTACTTTTTCATTTCCGTTTCATTAGTTTTCTTTTTTTTTTCATCTTTTCTTTTTAGGAATTTAAATTAGTGTTATATTTTATCATTTAATCTTGGTACAGTATTTTGCGATTTTTTTTTTTTCATAATTAACTATCAGGTGATTTGTGATTTTTATTTTCATATTTTTTCACAGATTTATAATTCAATATTGGTATTTTTTATTAATTTTTTCTTATAATTTTTGTATTTTATAATTTAAATCGCAGGATTTTGCTCGGGTTAATTAATTTTTTATTGCATTTCATAATTAAATTCCCAAGTATTACTGAATATTTTCTGGGGGGGATTTGACTATTAAGTCTTGTTGGATCAGGGATTAAATCGGCCATTAACTTAACCTAACCTAAACTTGAAGTCAATTTTCCCTTTAACAACATGGACGATAGCATAATTATTAATGACAAAAATAACACTACTACTATTACTAATAATAATAATAATAATAATAATAATAATAATAATAATAATAATAATAACAATAACAATAATAATAAAAACAACACTAATAATAACAATAATAATAATAATAATAATAATAATAATAATAATAATAATAATAATAATAATAATAATAATAATAATAATAATAATAATAATAATAATAAATACGGAATTTCAACTCAAATACCCCCCCAAAATAAAATACATTTCCTAATCTCCCACAGACGTTACACTAAGATCAAGAGGTGTCTACAAATGGAAAAATCTCATACCGGGTGATGGTGATGAAATCCTCAGGCGTAGCTGCCAGATGTATAACTCCTCCCCCTTCCCCCGACCCACCCTCCCCATTGGACGACCACCACCAACCCTCGCGTGACGTCACCTCCCTTCCCTTAGGCCCCGAGAAAAAGGTTTCTATAGATGGCAGTTAATATAGATTTTTCACGTCACAAAAAGCGAAATATTCAATGGTAAAAACAAACATGAATCGCATTATATTATTGCTGCGGAAATATGTTTATGTGTATAACAATTAATTCAAGCTTATAACAGAGGCTAGAATTGAAGGCAGTTTGGTGGGAAATAATAAGGATGGTTAAAAATATCCATCAGTCAAGTCAGGTAAGATGGGTTTTGTATTGACTAAATACTGTCTAGCCAAAATTTGTGTTCACCTAACTTAACAAAATCTAACCTAACCAAACATAACCTAACCTAACCAAAAAAAAATAGCCCAATAACCTAACATAATCTAACCTAACATAACCTAATCTAACCTAACCAATTATAATCTAACCTAATCTAATCTAATCTTACCCAAACCAAACTAACCTAACCTAACCTAACCTACCATGACCTAACCTAGAACCCTTACATAACTTTAGGGAGTTTAATCAAAAGATGAAATAATCCGGCGGGGGGGGGGGGTGGGGTGAGGGCAAGTAAAGGGGCGGGGGGCAGGGGGCGGGGACGGTTAATCTTCAGGAAACGCACAGATTGTCTTATATATATTTTGGAGGCGTTATACTGTGGGAGTCAGAATTAAAACAAATATCCGAAATGGTTAAGAAAACACACACACACACACACAGCTCCTCCTCCCCCTCCACTCTTAATTCCTTGTTTATGGGCTCTTCTTATCCTCTTCCTGCCTCCTCCTCCTGCCCTCCTCTTCCCCGTCTCCCCCTCCTTTCCCTTCCTCTCTTTCCCCTTTACTCCTCATCTATTTCCGTTCCTGTTCTCCTCCATCCTCCCCTTCACTCCCCCATTTCCTATTTCCTTCCTTTCTCTCCATCATCTTCTTCTCCCCCTTCCTTTTCCCCCTCTCTACCCCTAATTTGCTTCCCTCCACCACTCCCTTCCACCTCCATACCACCCCCCTCCCTCCCTCCACCCCTCCTTCCCCCTTCCCCTACCCCCCTCCTTCCTCCTTCCTCTGCGTGTCCCTCCTACACCACATACACCAATACCCCTCGTCCGTACACATCTTTTATTACGCAATTAACAGCGTGCGTCACTGTCTTACGCCCCGGGACGCAGTGTTTATGTACCCTTATATGGCCTACTACAAGCCACCATAACAATTGGCATTATGACGATACAACCACTTACATTAATGTTATATGTTGTAGGGTAACGGAGGGGGGTTAAATCATCCTGTGTGGTTTGGTTTGTTGCTGTGGTTGTATGTATGTATATATGTCCCAGGTTCGATCCCCGGGCAGGGTGAAATTGTGGGCAAGTTTTTTTTACGCCATTTGCCTCTGTCTACCCAGCAGCAATTGGGAACTTGGATGTTAATCGATTTGCGGATCGTATTCAGGGGTAATGGTTAGCCAGTGCAGTTGGTGAACTGTCCGGTCTTCTCGGACTAGTCTTTGACACTGGGTCATGCAACTCGTTAACTCAGGGTGTGATTGTTGTGTTGGCGACGGCTTCTACACCTTTAACAAATTCACACCTAGGTGGCCCTTGGGCCGGCCATCCTCGTTACACGAGGGGAAACCATTATGTATGTATGTATGTATGTATGTATGTATGTAATTATCTTTCTATCTATCTCTCTAACTATCCATATCCATTCATATATGCACATATCTATCTACCCATCTATCTATCTATCTATTTATTATATCTCACCCCTGATAATCTCTCAATGGTTCTTTCTGTTCTCCTTTGTTCTCCCTGCCACTAATTTATCTTCTTCCATTTGTTCTTCCTTCCTTTCTTGTTTCCTGCCATTAATGTGTTCAGTTAATTCCTTTCCTTGCCTGTTCTCTCTTTCTCCTCTCATTCCCTCTTCTCTCTTTCTTCTTGTCTCCCCTTCCTTTTGTTTGTATGTATGTATGTATGTATGTATGTATGTATGTATGTATGTATGTATGTATGTATGTATGTAGGTAGATACATATGAATTAGTGTATGTTTATGTATATGCATGTTTACAAGTGTGTGTGTGTGTAAATACAGGTATATAGTGTATGAATGATATATATTTAACTGTGGTAGTAAATAGAGAGAGAGAGAGAGAATATCAATATACAATCCTATCCTCAATCTGTTACAGAGTTGATCTTTACAGCAAATTTCAGTGACATTTCGAATAAATTTCTCGGTGCTTTTATTCTGTAATTTCGTCAGTGAAACGAACTCATCTCCAACACGGTGCTTCAATGATGTATCGAATAAGTTTCTAAATTCAAATAGTTTCAAAATGCTTCGAATGTACATTTTTACTGTCCGAACTAATAACCCTTTAAGACTAATTAACTTGGTAATTCATTTCTCTTAAAAAAAAATTAAATAATCTTTATGTGTTCAAATGATCCAGCTGTGTTACTGAAAGCAGGGCGGTATACTGAAGCTGCCCGTCAAATCAGATTACAACTTTTTCTGGACATTATTTCTACATTAAATTGTAACCTAATCGGCTTGGGAGGCATTAGGCGAGCGGTTTTAATACCAGCCTTGGTTCTGGGGGGTCATTAGGTCGAGTTCCATTCTGATCAATGCAGTAAATCTACAGAAATGTGTATTTAGATCTAGGTACGATACGGCGACCGAGTACATACCTGTATATGAGCATTCTGAACAAAATAGGTGAGATAAGATTATTTCTAAAACTTAAGTATTGTCGAGAAATATTTTAGTGGTGTTTGGTGACTTGTGGCTCAATGGCACGAGATCTGGTGTGTGTGTGTGTGTGTGTGTGTGTGTGTGTGTGTGTGTGTGTGTGTGTGTGTGTGTGTGTGTGTGTGTGTGTGTGTGTGTGTGTGTTCATTAATGCCATTCACTATGTAGAAATCGATGAAGGTGAATAAGTGGGAATTTAGAAAGGCTGTTAAGTTTGTATGCATTTGTTGTACCAGCAGGAGGAAGGCCTCAGTCATCAGCCAGCAGGAGGAAGGCCCAGTCATCAGTCAGTCATCAGGCAGCAGGAGGAAGGCCCCAGTCATCAGCCCCCAGTCATCAGCCAGCAGGAGGAGGAAGCCCCCAGTCATCAGCCAGCAGGAGCAGGAGCCTCAGTCATCCAGCCAGCAGCCCCCAGTCATCAGCCAGCAGGAGGAAGCCCCCAGTCATCCAGCCAGCAGGAGCTGATCATCAGCCAGCAGGAGGCCCCCCAGTCATCAGCCAGCAGGAGGAAGCCCCAGTCATCAGCCAGCAGGAGGAAGCCCCCAGTCATCAGCCAGCAGGAGGAGTCAGCCCCCTCATCAGCCAGCAGGAGGAAGCCCCCAGTCATCAGCCAGCAGGAGGAAGCCCCCAGTCATCAGCCAGCAGGAGGAAGCCCCCAGTCATCAGCCAGCAGGAGGAAGCCCCCAGTCATCAGCCAGCTCCTCAAAGCTTCACATGAACAGTATTTATGGCTCCCCAGCACCTTAATGCTCCCCGCTGCTCATTTTTACACCAAGGCGCCTCTAAGATCTTGTTGGTGCGGCGTGTTTATTTGGCTCCTGTGTGGTCCATGGGCCCCCGGGATGGCCCTGGGGATTAAAAGACTTCGTATTTCAGGAGGGCGTCAAGCCGGGTGGGGGAAATGAGGTCCTTATTTCACTCCTTATGAAGGATACTTAAGAGAATCTTGGTCTAGATTCTCAAAGGCTCGTATGTTCGGATTTTCGTCTTACCTTTACCTACAGATAAGAACTCACCTCTTAATTACGATGCAATCTCAAGACCAATTTTAACGTCATCTTTTATTACGCTCTACGTTTTCTATCGTAGTTTGATTAAGTTGGGAGGTGTTTAAGAGAATAGTTCACCATCTGAACTTTTCAGAATCTGGCTTCTAGTACTCGTTAATCTTGCTAAAATGGAGACTTGATGCCGTAGAGGAATATATGGATCACTTGAAGATTAGCCCACAGTTTATTTCACCTGGTAATTAAATACCTTAACTCTACCTGTGGGAGGGTTAGGTTTGGTTATATAAAATTTAAGTTAACTTTTGGGTGTTGAATCATCAGGTTAAGTGAAATTAGGCTAGGTGAGGTTAGGTGAGGTTAGGTTAGGTTAGGTTAGGTTAGGTTAATTCTGGGTGTATAATGTTAAGGTGTATAAAACCTAGGGAGGTTAATCTTCAGGTGATCATTCAAGATAACATGCGACAAACAAGCCTGACAAAACTAACAAAGAAATTGGCCACTGACTTCGATAAACCACACTTGAATATAATAAAAATACTCCCACATGCACGTAAAATATCCATCAGTCAGTCAGGTGGGGCGAAAATTGGGCTGATTAAACGAAGACCCGAAAAAGATGAACAGGATTTACGACACAGAAAAATTACTTAACAGTTTCTTCATTTTGGTTAACTTGACACCGGTTGGAAGACGGGAGGTGTATTATTATTATTATTACTACTACTAATACTATTACTACTCCTACAACTATTACTATTACAACAACAACGTCTACTAATACCACTATTACCTCAACTATTACTACTACTACTACTACTACTATTAATATTACCTCAACTATTACTACTACTACTACTACTACTACTATTAATATTACCTCAACTATTACTACTACTACTACTACTACTACTATTAATATTACCTCAACTATTACTACTACTGCTATTAGTAATTGGAGATTTTCGCCTGTTAAGCTTCTGTATCTCGACACGGCTACACAAAATCAATCTCCCAGACGGCTCCAACCAGCTAGCACGGAGGGAGTAAGCTTAGACTGTGCTATTCTGCTATTGAATCTGAGCTATTTACACGAGGCATCAACAATATTTAACTTAAGAATCTGAGCTATTTAACAAATGAATCAGTATTATCTAACCCTAAAATCGATGCTAGTTAACTTTGGTCACTTAAATTCAACCCAATCAGCCACTTAAATTACCCTTAAGAGGAAAAATTAACCTAAAAGCCTTCTGAGAAACTGGACTAAGAATCTTTGTGAATCCAGACCCAAAGCAATCAAGTGCCAGTCTGTGCAATATTGCCATTTGCAGCGCTTGTATTTGTCTTTAATCTCTTGTTACCTCTATTTTTTGTACCTGTATCGCTGTGTATATTTTGTAATCATGTATTGGGTATAAAGTTATTACTAGTATTACTATTATTATTCTTACTATTACTACTACTATTACTCCTATTACTGTTATTGTTAGGATTACTTTTACTCTTATAATTGTTACTGTATTATTATTATTTTTATTTTGTAATCCTCTACTGGTATAGATTTGTAGTCCTGTATTCTCCAGTATATTTTTTCTGTAGTACTGTATGGTTGGGAACCTTCATAATATCCCTCCTTCCTGACCTACCCTCCAGAATACCCCTCCAACCTTAACCTTCACAATACCCCTCCAAAACGCCCCTCTATCCTACCCTTCCACCCCTCCACACAGTCTGACCTCTGCCCTTAAAACATGTAGACGACACGTTCCCAACCATGAACAACTGGGCATATCTGAGCAGGTGTCTCCCATAGCTGCCACTTTCAGATGTGTCTTCCATACCTGCTTTTCCTTCAGGTGTGTTTCCCATACCTTAACATGTGTGTGTGTGTGTGTGTGTGTGTGTGTGTGTGTGTGTGTGTGTGGTATAATCTCGCCCTCATGAAAAGCTTCCTGTACATATTAACCTAAAAACCTAATCTAAGAAAAGTTTTTAAGCCGTTGGAAAATTGCCTGGCCAGTCTAATTCATATTTTTGCGAAACCAATTAAGCTGCTTCAAAACTTGTAACCCCCTCCCTCAACCCACCCCCAAACCTCTCTCTCTCTCTCCTGGCTGAGGCTCCGTGACATTCATAATAATATAACCCTAAAATAAATAAACAAAAATATAAGTAGCTCTAATATATAACACTGGATAATTACATATACAGTATAGGCGGAATATTAGATGTTGGTGGTGGACAGATGGTATGAGCAGATGAGCAACAAAAACAAGAACAACGTTAATTAGGGGGAGGAGAAGGTGGTGGAGATACTACTACTACTACTACTACTACTACTAATAATAATAATAATAATAATAATGATAATAATAATAATAATAATAACATAAATAATAATAATGGTTGCCCCGTCGTGTAACGAGGATGGCCGGCCCAAGGGCCACCTAGGCGTGAGTTATTTAAGGTGTAGAAATTGTTGCCAACACAACAACCACACCCTGAGTTAACGAGTTGCATGACTCAGTGTCAAGGAATAGTCCGAGAAGACCGGATAACTCGCCAACTGCACTGGCTAACCATTAAACCGGAACACGATCCGCAAATCGATTACATCACAGGTCGCCATAACAACACTAACACCATCAAATCGTATCGTATTCCCCCCAAACAGAACACCCCCCCAGTACCCCCACCCACACACACACCCACACTATTACATTACTTCACACAAGCCCTAAGGGAACAGTGGAAGAAAACGAAACGAAACAAAATGCTGACAAACGAACACCGCCATCGTCCCAGCTCCGTGACAACGAATCCGAATTCCAGATCAGCAAACTCGGGCAAGTAAACAAACTGGATGAGGGTATATAAGGGTCCCCACTACCGGTTTGGACACAGATGGAGTGAGGTTGTCGGGGGAGTCGGAAGGGTCGTGGGCTTGATCCTCTTATATAAAGTACATGATAGTTTTAACGTAGAAAGTTTATCTTGATATTGTCTGACTGTTATGAAAAGTCTGCTGGAGTTTGAGATATATTGATATATTATGGGAGCCGTAGAAAAGAGGATATAAATAAAGAACAAATAAACAAAATACTAAAAATAGGATAATAGTCAATTATTAATTTAACCTTGTGGAAAATAGTGAAATATGGAACATGTCATTTTATTTATCTCAGGTGATCTGTTACCAGCAGCTAACGAAGAGGGGAGAGACGACCTGTCATTGCTGGAAAAAATCTGAGAGAAACGACCTGTGATTGGTGGAACAACACGGTGGAAATAAACTATCAAACAAACACTATTAATAGATATACAGTATAGATAACCCGAGCGATATATCAACACGGTATATCACACGACAACTGATATCATGTTCACTGTATCATGTATCTTGACCTGATAACTGAAGAATATATAAAACTCCCTCAATATTGACTATATTACACGTATCTGTGATCAAAATAAGAGCTTATTAAGGCTTTATTTTCCTTTGTTAAAATAAATAACTGTTCACCATTTTTGTATACCTGTAGATGTACTTTGTTTGTATATATTGCATATACACTATCTATATACATTGGTTATACACCTGTATTGCCTAAGTACAGTACATGCTGAATTAATGTTAATTTGTAAGCTGATTTACTGGATAAGCATATATCTATCTATCTATCTATCTAGCTATCTATCTATCTATCAATCTATCTATCTATCTACTTAAGTTGTCCATGGAGATATATTTATCTTATTTAAAGGTCTTATGTATTTTGTGTAACCTAACCTAACCTGACCTGACCTAACCTGACCTGACCTAACCTGACCTAACCTGACCTGACCTGACCTAACCTAACCTGGAGATAAAACAGAATATTAACGAGAGTATGAAGAAAATACCTGTTGGTGAGAGTTTTGCTGACGGTGGTGCAGGGAGTGAAGATGGATGAGACGTGTGTGTGCGTTTGTGTGTGTGTGTGTGTGTGTGTGTGTGTGTGTGTGTGTGTGTGTGTGTGTGTGCATCTTTTACAATTACTTACAGAAAATTACCTTTATAGTTTCGAGACGTTAGAATAGGTTAGGTCAGGCTAGGTCAGGTCAGGTCAGATTAGGTTAGGTTAGGTCAGGTCAGGGTAGGTTAGGTTAGGTTAAAGCGTGTGTTCTGTAATCTGAGGCGCCACAAGTCAAACTCTAATAAGCGTATTCATTAATTCCTTTATTAGCGAAAGTTATATTAAAAGTTTCCCAGTTAAATTGTTATTATGATGGTGTAAAAGAGGATAATTGTCGCTTACATCATCAGCTTATGGAGGTAATTAGCGAGGTAGTGAGAGGAGGTGGAGGAAGGAAGAGAAAGGGAGAAGGAGGTGGAGGAAGGAAGAGAGAGGGAAAAGGAGGAAGAGGAAGGGGGTGGGGGAGAATGAGAGAGGGAGAGTAGGAGGAAGAGAAGGAAGAGGGGGGAGTAGTGGAGGAGGAGGAGGAAGGAGAGAGAGGAGGAAGAGGTAGGGAGTGGGGGAGGAGGAGGAGGAGGAGGAAGAAGGAGAGAGGGAGGGTAAGAGGTAGAGGAAAAAAGAAAGGGAGTGGGGGAGGACGAGGAGGAAGGAGAGAGAGAGAGAGAAAGAGGAGGGAGGGAGGGAGAAGAGAGAGACAAGACCAAGTGCAAAATACACATACATACATACATACATACATACATACAGTACATACATACATACATATCTGAATTACTATTATACTTTATGAATTATTGAAAGTTAAAGAAACCCCAAATAAAGACCCCCAAAAATACGATAATAAAGAACGTAAAAAATATATATGAATAAATAAATAAATAAAATACATGGAAATGCACTTTTAAATGAAACACTTAGCGTACATATAGTTAATAATAC